CATCTTCTGATGAGCAGTCGCCATGAAAGACGGCTCAAGCATTATCTCGTGCAGGATAGAGACCTTTATTAATATCAATATCACCCTTCATAGCCTTTATCCCACTTTGCAATGCCCTATCTCAAATGAGGATCTGTGTTCATGTGATGAATTCTCATCATCTGGGAACTGCTGCTTGTGGAGATTCTTGGTTGAAACAACGTACACACATAGAAACTGACATAAAACAGGTACATTAAATACTCCTGAGCTCATCATAAATGTGAAAATAATTTTACAGTATTCTATGGAATGGTCTTCCTGTGAGTAATATACATGTATATCATAATGCATGAAAACAATTTTGGGAATATGACGTATATAATACTCAACTAATCTGTGTTATAAAAATCATTTAACCAAAGCTTAAAAATAATAATTCTAATGATCCAAAAGACAATATAAAAAAACAATGTTTAAGATTCTGACGCTAAAATTCATAAATTCTGTATCAACTATTCACCAATATGCACAGCCTTCAAAAATTGGTACTATTCTCCACTGTCTGGTAGCCAATCAGGCAAGGTCTAGACGTAATTAGTACCATGTGTGAACCTCAAACATTGTCTTTGTGTAATTAGTGTGTTGAATTACTGCTAGATTGGGTCTTGAACGGAATTAATCAAATATGCCATAGCTGCCAATTGGCATGAGCCAAGTCCTCCTTTAAGAAACATTCCCCCTCCAGTTCCTCATCTTGTTTCATCCCTGGAGGTCACATGCATAGGATACCGTGACAAAGAGGGGAAAATGACCTCTTCAGCAATCGGAGTGTAGATTGCAATTTACTTTCACATACACATAAAGGCTGACAATGGATCTAAGTAAGTGTGTTGACATACTGCAATCTGTATATCAGCAAATAGACCTATTAGCCTCTCACAAGAGTGCCCAGGTGGTTAACCAGTCTTATGTAAGGCCAACAAAACAAACGGGAATCATTAACCTGAACAAATGCTGTTGACATTGTCAGGATTGGAAAAGAGATGGAAAAGCAAGACCAATCACACAGGAAACCCATATCAAAAGAAAGGCAGATGATGACTAAATATCTCAAGAAGCGAGGCAATTATGCCAAGAGGGATTCTTAGTCGGTATGAACACATATTTTGTTGGATGAATTACATGAAAGTGATTACTTAACACACACGTCCAAATCTGCCCACATCTACGTACTCAGGGGCCGTACTTGATGATTTAGCTAGTGTAGTCTTAAACACTTCACAGCTCTTGAAACCGGATGTAAAATTCCTTTATTCCTAAAATCTTCAAGAGATCTTGCAAGAGCTAGATCAGTTGATTAGATGGAGGAAATATGGCTGGATAGAAACAAAACTCAAATTATAGGAAGTGGACAAAAATAGACAGGCAGGAGAAAGGATTGATGTATTCTAATGTACTACAGGAAACTGGTGAATGACAAATATATTGACAAAAGGTTAAATGATTCGGTGCCAGCTATATTTAGAGTGCTAAATTTGGAGAAGTAGGTTTGTCTAGGCAAGAAACAAGTTAAGTACATCTCACTCGTGTCTCCAAGGAAGGAAAACTTCGCAGGCCTACTACTGATAGTTCTTTGATTAATGGAATTGTTTCCCACCTTTGAAAGTTTTGCTGGAGACATATCAAGACTACAAACTGGTTAGATTTCTTTCAAGGCTTTTTGAGTATATTAGTTTGGTAATATGAATAAACCTGATCCAGAAACCTATGAAACTTAACATACAAATTATTGAAATTATGAAGTGTGAATTCTGTAATGGATTTAAGGAAAAGAGCCTGCCTCCATCTCTAAAATAGATTTAAATCAGTCAGGAAACCTTACCTATAGCTGTACCCCACACTAAACCATCTGTTGCCACCCTTTTCACCCACACTACATGAACTGAAGTCTCTCTCTACTCCAGAACCATAAAGAACCTAGCAGAAATAAAGGTCTTCAGCTACCCATGCTTTTTATAAGAGGCAACTAACAGGATCGGGTGGTCAGGCCCAGGTTTGTTGACATGGTTGATGCATGCTCATGATATCAATCACTGGATTGTCTTGTTCAGACTTGATTATATACCGACTGCTGTCATATAAACAACAAACGAACAAACAAAAGTAACTACCCCCCACACTACACGAGCAAGAGTCAGCCTCTATCCCAAATGTATTGTAAGCCTCTACCCCACACTACACCAACTGTAGTCAGCCTCTACCCCACACAACACCAACTGTAGTCAGCCTCTACCCCACACCACACCAACTGTAGTCAGCCTCTACCCCACACCACACCAACTGTAGTCAGCCTCTACCACACACTACACCAACTGTAGTCAGCCTCTACCCCACACCACACCAACTGTAGTCAGCCTCTACCCCACACCACACCAACTGTAGTCAGCCTCTACCCCACACCACACCAACTGTAGTCAGCCTCTACCCCACACCACACAAACTGTAGTCAGCCTCTACCACACACTACACCAACTGTAGTCAGCCTCTACCCCACACTACACCAACTGTAGTCGGCCTCTACCCCACACTACACCAACTGTAGTCAGCCTCTACGTACCCCACACCACACCAACTGTAGTCAGCCTCTACAACACACCACACCAACTGTAGTCGGCCTCTACCCCACACCACACCAACTGTAGTCATGTACCAACACCACACCAACTGTAGTCAGCCTCTACGTACCCCACACCACACCAACTGTAGTCAGCCTCTACAACACACCACACCAACTGTAGTCAGCCTCTACCCCACACCACACCAACTGTAGTCAGCCTCTACCCCACACCACACCAACTGTAGTCAGCCTCTACCCCACACCACACCAACTGTAGTCAGCCTCTACCCCACACCACACCAACTGTATTCAGCCTCTACCCCACACCACACCAACTGTAGTCAGCCTTTACAACACACCACACCAACTGTAGTCAGCCTCTACCCCACACCACACCAACTGTAGTCAGCCTCTACCCCACATCACACCAACTGTAGTCAGCCTCTACCCCACACTACACCAACTGTAGTCAGCCTCTACCCCACACTACACCAACTGTAGTCGTGTACCCACACCACACCAACTGTAGTCATGTACCAACACTACACCAACTGTAGTCAGCCTCTACCCCACACCACACCAACTGTAGTCAGCCTCTACCCCACACTACACCAACTGTAGTCAGCCTCTACAACACACTACACCAACTGTAGTCAGCCTCTACCCCACACTACACCAACTGTAGTCGTGTACCCACACCACACCAACTGTAGTCATGTACCCACACCACACCAACTGTAGTCAGCCTCTACTCCACACTACACCAACTGTAATCAGCCTCTACCCCACACCACACCAACTGTAGTCATGTACCCACACCACACCAACTGTTACAACACAAGCTAACCCACCAGTGCAGCATTATCTAACATCTAGGTGCTATCTGCTATCAGTAGGCAGGGAATACTCCCGCTCCAACCATAAATAAACCGCCTGGGAATATATCTAAACAAGGGTGTTGATACTCTATACAAATTGCTACAAAAAATAATCTTATTAACGGGTATGGAAATTGAGGGTATCTCCTACAGCTGGTGTTTAGGAGGAACGATGTGGAGGAATTTGCTCTTCCCACAATAATGCTGAGTAATGAGTTTATAAATTCTTGATGGGCTTATATTTCCGGATTACAAAAAACTGGTGAATAATTCATCATTCTGGTTCATGGGTGCTTTATCGTCATTACATACGGAGTTTATTGCACTGAGGGTAATATAAACATCACGACTGTACAACAATGTACAATGTAGGCCGTTTTGACAGTGGGACAGGCAATAAACACCATCAGATGCAGGTGGCAGAACAAACTATTACAAAGCGATGAACTCCTGAAAAGATATTCACAACTTCTATTCTTGCATTCTTTTGTTCAAACAATAATTATTACAGTAAATCATGTAACAATTTAAGAACATGTTTTACAGATAATGGAACAAAATGTCTGTCACCAATCAGAATTAAATTATCTTTTTTTCGGATGAATATGTTAAGAATTCTAATTTTCTATTCACCCACTAACATGATAAGAGCTGGGAGTGTCAGTTTTTCTCCACTAATTCAGTCAATTGTAAAACAAGCACACCTCATTCTTAATCCATGACTTTCACATTCCACAGGAATTGGTAAAAAACATGCTACGCAAACTATCTCCATTGAAATTATTCACATGGAGTAGACCATCGATATCTCATGATTTCACAAACAAATTACCTCACTGGAATAAAAGTCACACACGTTACAGACGTCAAACTACAATAGATTCTCTTCCTAATACATTCTTCATTTCAATGAAGCTAATCATATAGGGACTGCATCGGATGGTTCCCATTAATATTTCATATTACTGATGGAATTTACTCAATAGGAAGATGCCCATGCATCACAATTGGACAATATTGCACCGAGACACTGAAAACTAATATGCAGGAAGAAATGACAACCCCAATTCATTCATGATTTGTCGGCATATAAACATGGGATGTTTCTACTCCGATCATTGATTCTATTGAAATTAATGTTTTTTAATAATGACTTATTGAGCAATGTTGCTTATAACCAAATTTGACGAGGCTATGAATAAGGAGCACTATAGCCACATCACAAAGAACCTTGCCACCGAGAAAACATTCTGTAACGAAATCTACCACATTAAATGATCTCATTAGATATAATTGTGATGATTTTACATCATGCTGTAGTTACATTTATCAATATCTTTTTTTCTTCATCATACTGGACAGCAATTACAGACAAATAATATAACTTTAAATGCAGTAATCCACAATCTTTTGTGAGAATGATGTAAGTGTTTGTGAATATGAATACATATAGCTGATGAATGTACAGTGAAGTGTGAGTGTCTTGTACAGTGAAATAGGTGTGAGTGTCTGCACTAACTCACCTTGTGCTACAAACTGGGCTCCAGAATCGCAGCCTTCAAGTTCCGATGATCCAACTGCAGCAGTTATTCCACACAGCAACAAACACAAAGTCCCAAGGAAAGCCATGTTCAGATGATGGAGTTGTCTATATAAAAACGTATGTGTCTCCTGCATGGCCCTTATAATGACGAAACAGTCTCAAACACAGTGTGCCAGTGTGTGTTCCAGTACCGATAGGAAGTCACACGCAGAAGTGGGGAATGACTTTAATAAAGTTGTTACCACATCTAAATTAACTCATTTATTCCCTGCTAGGATGGGTAGAGTTTCGTCTCTGAGCTGTTACTGTGCCTGAAAATCCTTCAAAGAACCAGCTTCACTTTAAAACTCTTTCTCCATTGATTTCAGCATTGGATCTTGTTGACAAGTTCTGTGAGAAATATCTCTGTTATACTGTTATAATGTTATAATGTTATAAAGTCTACTTGTGCTGTGAACACACTGACCACAGTAATAATGACACACCAAAAAATAATCCCAACACGCGAGGTCTTTCCTCAAGCAATGTGTAGTAAGCCCAGTGTTCTTGCTGTTGTAAAACCACACAGAAGCGACTGATCAGTTGCCGATATCAGTGAAATGTAAGACCAAAATCCAGCTTTCACTTCACACAGCAAGTCATAAATTAGATTTCCTCTAGTGGTAGGATGCCTGTTAATATTTCACGTGTATGCCGAGTCCATGTCACCAGAGTCTGACCTGTATATGTGAGGGGAGGTCTATGACTGATGACTGGAGCTGTCAATCACACACCAGTCGTGTGGCTACTGCCTAGGGCTTGTGTTGGCTCCGCGACTGCACCAGGGGCATCTGCTACCTTGTGGTCCAATTAGCACTGGGAGAATGGGTAGGGGAGCGTTCGCTAGCCTCAAGGCAATGTTCCTCCTTGTTGTTTTGCTATACTGCTGATTACTTGCTTGGTACACTGGATGGTCTGTAAAAAACATACAATTTCTGAATGGCAGTAACAGCTTTCAAACTCACAGTTATATCCAGGTTTGATTTTTTAATCTTGATATTTCCTCAAGCAGTGGCTTCAAAGTTGTCTGCCTATTATTCGTTCATCACAAGATGGGGATTCTCTGTTGTAGACGTCTGGAGGAATGGAGCTCCAGTTCTTAAATGATCACAGGAACTGAGGTGAAGATTGCACGTCTTCCGTTAGAGAGGGATCTGCCCCAGTACAACAATGTACAAACTCACAGACAGCAGATGGCTTATGCATGCCACAGTTTTTTCAGCATTTCTTTAGTTTCATGCAGAGCTAGGCCTTCTGTGAACTGGTACCTGTGGAAAATAAGCAGACGTACATGTAGAAGGTGGATGACAGGCGATGTATGTGTCACATAGGATCTACATCAAAGACGCAGTATATCATTGTGTAGCAATTACAGTTTGGGCAATTGTGGGGCTTAGTTCACTGACTGTGACTGAGGTGTTCTTCAATGGTAAACTCACGCAAGCATAATTTCTCATAAACACACATCAGTATGAAAGGGTCCCATGTCCCATTAGGTCTTATATCCAACATGGTCAAAATGAAAGGCAGGTGTTTTTTTTATGGGTTCATCATTTGAATGAAGGCACAATTACTTTAACAAATTGGCTGGAAAAGTGCAGCGAGTATGACTGGGAGCAACGTTTAAGATTACAGGGTAGAAAAATGAAGTTATTGTGACTGGTGGCAGGAATATACCTCACTGACCCTAAGGGCTCATAAACCTCATTCAAGTAGAACCTCAGACTGTTTGTGATGGTCTATCGGGTGATAATGAGGTTACCTCGGGCCACTGCTCGAGCCAGATGGGGGAAGGGACAAGGTAAGGGGAGACAAGCAGTGCTCCCTTGTGGCAGACGTGTTTCCACCCGAGACTGTGCATCTCGCAGGAGGTCTTACTGGTGATCAAAAGATAGAAGAAGTCGACCTGGGCCGGTGGTTCATCACTTGCAGGAGGGAGGGTGTGAGCGAACAAATGCTGATGCTGTAGATGGTAATATTACACCAATCAACACAGACTGCACTGTAATCTGGCCAGATTGTTGTCTGTAATGCTGCTTTGAACAGTACTTCAGTCATACCATGGCAAGTCACTTTGTAGCTGTCTGCCCTAAGTGAGTGACCACCGGCAGAAGTGTGGTGCTGACAAACCAAGGATCATAATCAGGGAGAATCTGGGACTCAAACCCATGATCAGCAGATCCTGTCACATCTGATGGACATAAGTCAGTACTTTCTCAGATCACTGGGACAGTCATCCACTAGCTCCCATGTGGTCATCCACATTCAAAATACTTTCCATAACCGGCCATTGTGGCCACCTGATCCCCAAGTTGCACATCATAAGGCATGAAAAACTTGTCTTCATGAATAATCCCCCCACCCAGGTGTAACATAGTGATGTATTCTCTGTTAACACAGACAGAGATGGGAAAATGGATACAGACAGTGGGTAATACCAAAACATGGAATGTGTACCGATATGTTATAATCAGTGAGTTAATTCTAAAGCAGCTTTTAGCCATATTTCCCACAATATCACAGCAGGGGACAATGGGATGGGTGTTACACCCTGTACCCATGTAGGGAATCAAATCCAGCTCTTTTCTTTAATAACAAACACTTTAATCACTGGACTTCCCCTCTGCCCTCAAATGGTTGACAGCCAGTGGGTACGCACAGATTGGGTAAGGAGCTGGGCAAGATGAAGGGTCTAGCTGTTGGTCAGGGAAGTGCTTCCTGGATATGAAGACAATGATTTTACTCAGTAGCCCAGAGGGTAGTGCTCTTGCTGATCACAAAGGCCTGGTGTTCGAATCCCACAATGGTACAAACTGTAAAGCCCAATCCCCGGGTCAAGACATCTACACCCAGTAGCTTAGTCTGTCTTACAGACCCCGATACAAATATATATCAAATACAGCCCATGCAAGTCTATAATGTTTGGGGGTGGGGCACGGGTGGCCAATTCGTCTAAGGCGCTGCGATTCGCTGTGCAGAGTTGCATCCCTTGGGCACGCCAGAAACCTATGATTGTGGGTTCGAATCCCGGTTCGCCCCGATTATGTTTCTAGGTTTGTCAGCACCATACCCGTGCTCGTGGGTTTCACGGAAGTGGTAAACGTCTTAGACCTGCATCACTTCAGGCTTTCCTCCAACATTAAGCTGACACGCCGTGATATAACTGGAATAATGTTAAAAGCGGCCTTAAACCCAACTCACTCACTCACTATAATGTTTGGCAAGTCTAGATTACTGCAGTATCTGAAAATGAAGAGAGTCACTGGGCTCCCTTTTATTATATTTTTATTAAGATAACTGAACTGGGTTTTTTTATGTACGATATGTTCATTTCAGAGACTAGATGTTAGTCTACCAGTAGCCCTGCTCCGGCTCAGCTGTTGTGTCAAGCAGCAGATGTAGAGGGTAGGCTACTTGATGGGGCAGGGATACAGAACTAGCAGCACCATCTGTTGTGTAAACAGTTTGTGCAGCTTACACTGAATGACTGATAGATATATTCCCAAACAACTACCTCACAAACATAAGGTTGAAACAGCTATCAACCATCGACAAACTAATAACCATTTACCTTTGAAGAAGAGGGTATAATTTCTAATCAAGTTAACACATTTCTGTGAGTTTCGTGGGAATCTCAGTGATATTTGGGTCCGTTTGTAAGTGGGAAATGACATAAAGTGTTTTTAGCATAATCTTGAATCACAGACATATGCACATGGGTAGATTCAAAACTCATGTTCAAGCATAAACTGCACTTGGCTGAGTATTGTTTTACGCTGCTTTTAGTAATATTCCAGCAATATCCTGCTGGGGACACACAGGCCGAGGATTGACTCAACAGTTAGATCCATGCATGCTATGCAGGTGCTGCTCAACTCTTACATCAGTCCAAACATCGAGCCACATACACCAACCCTTGTTAATCTGGTTATCAAGGTTCTGGATTAACAACACACTGGTGCAGCGTAATGAACATCAAACATACAGAACCGTTCCTAACAAAATCCTCAGGAATACAAGGGTCCAGACTAAGAAGGTTTGCTAAAATGATTTTCAGTGATCCAATCATAATTTGCCTTTACACCTAATGGAGTCTATTTTGTTGGATAAACGAGTCGGGTTACTCTGGTGTTGATGTTTTATATATATATTTAACCACATTGGATTCTTTAACTAGATAGTCCAAAATCTATTTCTGTTTTGACACGCCACACTCTGATGAGTTTCTTCTAAAACCTTCGTCACAAGCCGCTGACCTGGCAGATCCAATGTTTCAAGGTATACCAATGTATCAGGACTCTGTTAAGAGTCAACACTGCAGCACAGCACAGCAAATGTCAAATGTGATTACACCCAGTGATACCTCAACTAAGAGAAACAAGTTCATAATCCATGATCATGCACATCAACAATCTAGTTTAGAATTTCTAATTTATGGCATATTTCTGTGTTTTAGCTCATTTACCGCACCCTGCCACAGGTATGGCCAGGTAGACCCAGTCAAGACGAAGACATTTTGCCTGATGACTTGTCAAGCATCGGGAGGTCGCAAGCGCTAAATTACTTCGAGCATGCGAAATACTAATCTAATGTTGCTTCAGCAATTTGCCTTTTCATCATGGTCCATTGTTCCTATTAAAATCTTGATTAAAGGTGAAAAAGGTAAGGGTATTGCTAGGTACAAGGATTAACTCTTCACTTCCAGGTGTTAATTAATCAATGCTCCAGTTCGGGGGTTAATGAGCTTTACAGGTGTATTGTTTTTACAAGCAATTGTTCCTGGTTATGTTGTTTTTTTGCTGCAAGACTTAATGGGCTGTGTCTGACAAAAGGTTAACTCAGTATGTATAAAAAATATACATTAGCATCGGAGGGTTAATTATCAGAGGGAAAGTTGATCAGGGAGTCATTTCAAGGATTAACATTTTAGAAATGTTGTAGTTAGGGTGATAATGTGTGAGCAGACGGCGAAAGGATAAAAACTCAACTTAACATTTGATTGGGATGAATAATTCTAGTATACACCAGACAGTTGAGTTTTTGACATGCTAGAGATATAGACATATCACACATTCCAGGGATATATCATGGCATTAGATATTCATCTGTGGCAAATGATGGACAAAATCAGGTTATCATAAATTTTCTCTTAATATTTTATAGATTTAGGTATGTGACTTGGATTATCATTATTATCGGGATACATTCTTAAAATACTCTGGTTATTGAAATATGAGAATTGACCTTACAAATATTCCGATTTTAAGATTCGACATTTTTTCAAGTATAACATCAAGGATAAATCCCTAATTTCAGGGGCAAATTTGATTCAGTAACCATGTATCGGAACTGACACTTCTACTCATTCTCCATCAACCATTGGTTTGTCTGGTTGGGAGTCTTATTTGCAGGCTGCCATCTTACAGCCAAAGTAATGCTCGCTTAGTCTCGTATTAACTAAACACCTAATGAGAAGAAAATAACTGAAGGTATTCACTGTCTAGGATTAGGTTGAAGGTTATTTTCAGAACACATAAGCACTAATGGGAAAGCAAAAGAAGTTTTCATTACATGGGTTGGAAATTGGAGCAACTTCATTTACTTGAACAAAGAGAAATGAGTAAGTGAATATGGTTTTAGGCCGCCTTTAGCAATATTCAAGCAGTATGAAGCCGGGGAACTCCAGAAATGAGTGAAATGAAAACAAGTAAGTGTAATGAGTTGTATGAATGAGTGAGTTTGGTTTTATGCCATTTTTAGCAATATTCCTGCCACATTTTGGCAGGGGACTCTAACACAGGGCAATCCAACCCAGGCCAATCAGCATGGCAGACACATGGGTATAATGGTAAACTAGATCCGCCAGTTCACATTGGAAATCAGATCTTATTTGTCAGTGACCAAATAAGCCAGTGATGGATTTGATATGTTTGGACCTGGTTTTACCTTTATTCCACACATATGATGGGACACCAAGAATTAGCTTCATGCACCTCCGCATGTGGCGAATCGAACCAGGGTCTGGAATGTGATGAGCTGGCACTCTAACCACAAGGCTACCCTACCAGCCACCAAATAAACCAACAGCACACATTCCAAAAGTGTTTCTTCCATCAAACACTTAACTCTGATGCTATGATATACATCTCACAAACTTCCACCTTAAAAAAAGCATCAATCACAAGAAAAAGGGATATCATCTCTTTTCCACAACTGTCTCCAGCTAGCCATTACAAACAAGTAGACATAATTTGTAAGATAAGTCCGC